GCTAATATTTTGTTGAGGATTTTTGCATCGATGTTCATAAGAGATATTGGCCTATAGTTTTCTTTTTTTGTAATGTCTTTGTCTGGTTTTAGAAGGTAATGGTAGCCTCATAAAAGGAGTTAGGCTGCCATCCCTATTCTTGAATTTTTTGGAATAGTTTGAGAAGATAGGTGTTAATTTTTCTTTGAATGTTTGGTATGAATATTCACCTATGAAGCCATCTGACCCAGGACTTTTGTTTTGGGGGAGGTTTTTGATTACTGATTCGATTTCATTGGTGGTAATCAGTTGGTTCAGATTTTCTGTTTCTTCTCGACTAGATCTTGAGAGAGTGTATGTTTCTAGGAATGTATCCATTTTTTCCAGATTGTCCAGTTTGTTGTCATATAATTTCTCGTAGTATTTTCTTATGATCCTTTGTATTTCTGTGGAGTCCATAGTTATTTCTCCTCTGTCATTTCGGATTTTATTTATTTGAGTCTTCTCTCTTTTTTCCTTGATGAGTCTGGTTAAGGGTTTATCCATTTTGTTTATCTTTTCAAAGAACCAGCTCTTGGTTTCATTAATCTTTTTTTGTATTGTTTTTCTAAACCCTATTTCATTTATTTCTACTCTGATCTTTATTATTTTCTTCCTTCTACTCACTTTGGGCTTTGTTTGCTGTTCTTTTTCTAGTTCTTTTAAGTGTAAGGATAGATTGTTTATTTGCGCTTTTTCTTGTATCTTGAGGTAGGCCTGTATTGCTATGAATTTCCCTCGTAGGACTGCTTTCACTGTGTCCCATAGATTTTGAGTTGTTGTGTTTTCATTGCCATTTGTCTCTAGGTACTTTTTGATTTCTTCCTTGATCTCATTGTTTACCCATCCATTGTTTAGTAGCATGTTATTTAGCCTCCATGTGTTTGTGTGTTTTCCTATTTTTTTCTTGTAGTTGATTTCTAGTTTCATACCATTGTAATTAGAGAATATGGTTGATATGATTTTAATCTTCTTAAATTTATTGAGAAGCTTGTTTTTTTATTACTAAGTTTTGAGAATTATTGTGTATTCTGTATATAAGTCCTTTATTGATATGTTTACAAAATTTTCTCTTTTTCTGATTTGTCTTTTCATTTTTTTACCAGCATCTCCCAAAGAACAAATGTTTTAAAATATGACAAAATACAGTTATAGTGCCTACTGTAATTGAGAAAATGAATTTTTAATTTTATTTAATTTTAATTAAAAATAGCTATCTGTGGCTAGTGGCTACCATATTAGATAGCACAGCCTACTAATGCCTAAATGAATTTTTAATGAACAATGTGTACATTTTTTGTAATTCTTTTTTTATTATATGTTTTGATTACATCTATTGACATATAACTTTATGTCTGCTGAATCTAACAAAAATTGGGCTTGCATTCTTTAAACCTTATTTTTTCTTTTAATTTTTCTATTATTAATTTTTATCAGATTTTATTAATGGATTGGTCCCTGATGTTTTGGAAATTTAAAAACCTGGTTCTTTGCCATAGATAGTCTGAGAAGCACTGAGCTAGCCAGACGTCATAACATGGACAAACGTCCTCTCTCTCTGTCAGAGTATTCTCATTGTATTCTCATTCCCTTACCAGAGAGAAAACCTCTCTGAAATGGTGGCATTTGAACTGGGGAGAGGCCATTTCAAATGGAGGGACAGAATAGCAAAATTTTGGACGATTGGGAAAGGGCATGGGATGTTCAAAGAACAGAAAGGAGACCAGTAATGGCTGAATATGAGAATGGGGGAAGGGCGGTGAGAGATGAGCTGGAGAGGAAGCCAAGAGCTGAGTTTTGCAGTCACACAGACCTTCTCCTCCTTTCCCCTCCTGCATTATAGATAAGAGTTAATGAACCACAGGCACCCGATATTGTGAACAAGTGTGTGAATATGTATAGATTAAGGCCTTATTCAAAATGCTCTTGAAGAAACAACCAAATGTTATCTTACACTTGGCTTTGGTTGTATAGAAAAAGTATCTTGTTTTCAGCCCAAGAAGTGGGCTGAACAACAAGAACTCTCACAAGAAGTCAAGGGGTAAGATTCCCATGCCACAGATTAAAACTGAGTTTCAAAAAGGTATGTAACTTGCCCAAATCACACAGCTAACAACAACAAAAACTTAAGTTCATGTTCCTTCTACTCTATTTGATTGCTTTTCTTCCAAATGAGCCCCAAACACCCCTTTTACAAACATGAAATTGTCTATTTTAATTCGATTTTGGTAATGATATAAATGGGCACAGAAATGTAACAATTACAGAGATTTTGCATTAATTTGAGAGTTTCTCCTTTAATTAGTTACTTGAGGCTGCTGTAACAAATTAGTACAAATTTGGTTGCTGAGCACACGAAAATTTATTCTCTCACAGTTCTAGAGATCAGAACTTCAAAATCAAAGTGTCAACAGTGCTGTACTCCCTCCCAAGGCTCTAGGGAACAAGTTGTTCCTTGCTTCTTCCAGCTTCTAGTGACTACATGTGTACCTTGGCTTGTGGCTGCACTACTACAGTCTCTGGTCACATGGCCTGCCCTTCTTGTATATCTCTTATAAGAACATTTGTCCTTGGATTTAAGATCCACTCAGATAATCCAGGTGAATTTCAACTCAAGATCCTTAATTTATTTACATATGTAAAGACCCCTTTTCCAAATAAGGTCATATTTACAGGTTCTGAGGATTAGGATGTGGGCACATCTTTTCCAGGAACCACCACTGAAGGCACTACACCCTCCCTCGGCTTCAGCCTGGAAACTCTCCCCAGGTGCTCAGCTAGCCACTCATCAGGCTCAGCTCATTTGTTTCTCTCCTCCCAGGGATCGCTGACCTACACTACACTGCCTGCTGTGTAAAAACCATTGCTTCAGATATTTTGCCCAATTTTCTAGTTGTTTAAACAGAAGGATAAATCCAGTCGCTATTACTCCAGTATAGCCAGAAGCAGAAGTTCATCCAAGTGTTTAGGTTCATTGAGTGTGGAGAACTTTTCATGTCTTGCCCATGGCTGCACCACCAGTGCCTGTAGAAATGAATGGAGCATAATAATCCTTCCATAGCAATTGATGAATTAATGAACAAATGAACGAAAAGTAAGTCAATCTAAATCCTTTATTTTTATATTATTTAGGACCAAGTGACTAAAATTCCTTTACCCCTGTCAGTTGGATGAGTTTGAGCCACCCCTCCTTAGCTGCATATCTGCTAGAAGTAAGTTATTTTCTTCCCCAATTCGCTCTCAGCCCCCTCAGTTTGGCTTTCATGGTTAATGCAAAACGCTGGCATTGGGAAATTTAAGAGATTTACCTATGGAGTACATTTTAGGAAACAATTTATAAGAAGTAGGTTCTGCCTGTGTTTTATATAAAAAGAACCTAGTACACATTGTGGGAAGGGGCTGATATGGGGAAGTTAAATGATTACACATTTGTCACAGGAAACTGAGGCTGGACGATGTGTTGATGGAAAATAAATGATGGAGCATTGAAAAGATAGGAGAGGCAAGAAGCTTGTGTATCAAAGAACTCAATTTATAAATTACATCAGTTCATATCAAAACAAATGTAGTCATATATGAAGAAAAATAGTTTCTGCTTTCATTTCCACATTCACACTAATTTAACTAATTTAACTAATTAAGTTAAAAAAGGAAACAGTTATTACCATTATCAACAGCATTTATTAGAGCATCTGTTATATGGCTGTTTGACTTACTCAAAAATCTGATTATATCTTGAACGTAGAGCTTTGTTAGTTTGGTTTGAATTTATTAGATTTTAATTATAAGTATAAAATAATAGACAGCTGTTATAATAAGCCTAAAAATTCAGAGGTGGAAAAGAAAACAAGTTAGAAATCTCCTACTTTAATTGCAATCCTGAGGTAACCAATATTAACAGTTTGGTGTGTATCCTTCTATATCTTCCTTGGTGTGCCTATGAACATATGTAAACATATTTACATATATATTAAGTGGTTGCTAGTTTTATAAAAATGTAATTT